TGAAAGTACAAAAAAATATACATATATCTCTATCACAAAATCACAAAACAAAAGTACATCAATCACTATCATGTATCAAAATCCCATACTATATCCTCGTCTCCCTGGTTAGCAGGTGGATTGGGCAGATACTGAGTATAACGGGGAAATTCAGGAAAAGTAACATCAGGCTCACCTCTGTAGTGTCGGGCCTGAGCTTCGTAGTAAGCTATCTCGAAGTCAGAATGCCTCTGTAGGTACTCACTACCATACTCATACATAATCATATCTACGTTCTAATCCCCCATTTCTTTCATTTATTTTCTCTGTACTCTTCCGCTGCAAGGTTAACTCATTCATTAAATCATCGGTAGGGGAGCTAGAGGAAGGAAGGTCATAACTTGTAGAGGGGATATCTCTTTTAGTAGAAGGTTCTTTACTCCTACTCCCACATATCCATCCTTCATAGGATTCATACGTCTTTAAATTAGCTTTACTAATGGGTTTCATAGGGTAAACCCATTCTTCATCATCTCCATCTTCAACTCTAGAAAGTTGGCAAAGTGCATAAATAAGGTCAGGATGTCCCAGACCTCCACTTCATTCAATCCTTTCTATAGTCAAAATATTCTTATAAATAATTCTCCCCACATTTATAATCCGATTGTTCTGAATACAGAAATTCAGAATAGCTTTATCTCTTTTTACCTCACTATGGTGATAGGTAGGTAACAGAGTAGAGGAAATAAAATAGTGTCATGCTTTAGATGTGACATTCAACATGAAAGCAGAAAAATTTACCCATTCTTGCTGCTTTATCTTCCATGTCCCCTTCCCATCAGTGAGAAAGTTAATGACATCGTTCAGTGGGTCTTCCATTGTACTGAAGGTTTCATAATTGCAGATATAGGAGTCTGGTACTTCATAAAATGAGTTAAAGCAGACGACACTAAACTCAACAGAAAACCCTCTTACTCGAACGGTTCCCTCCTCAGAATAGAACACATTTGCATATAATTCTTTCACAACATTCACAACAGCCTTATTGGTGGTATAACCAAAATTTTTCCACCTCCGTTCGGTAATAACTCATTCAACTTCTCCTCTTGGACTCCCAAAAACACGATCTTGTATATATTTCTTCCCTTGAAATATTGAAGTAAATCTTGACCGAGCCTTCCCATTGATGAAGCGAGGCTCGTCAAACTCAAGTCGCCTCTTTTGTCGCAGGGCCATTTCAATCTAATCAAAATTATAAAAAAATTCCAAAATACACTTCAAATACTCGAATAATGGCTTCCAAGAGTGACTCTAAGAGTTCAAAACTAAGTTCCATGAATTTCTTCCAAATATTTTCTCCACATTCTAAATTTTTTTGGATCTCCTCAATGTGGAAGAAATTCAAGATGAAAATAAAATATTTTTAGGTTGGAGTGAAGCTCTTACCGAGAGATGATAAAATCTGGTGTCTAAAAGCCTTGAAATCGCCCTAAATCCAAGTTCTTCAAGCCCTAGATCAAAATTTTCATTTTTTAAGAGGAAGGGGATGATGAATGGTGGCGGTTGACTGGTCAAAATTGCGGTTAAAAGTGTTTTTCAGCGCCATCAACGATCTCTATTGAATTAAATAGCCTAAGTCTCAGGAAAAATCCACCGTCGGCAATGGCGATGGCGCCGTCGGCGAGATTTTTTGCAATTTTAATCAATTTCAAGCCTTGTCGACATCTGTTCAATCATTCTACGACATCCGTTCAATCATTATAGACATAAATTTTAAGTGATTAAATGATGCACTAACACAAATAAACATTCACAACACAAAACATCACAATTATATATAAAATCTAAGGGTTACAATACACGTTACATAACACACATAAGTTTGGTATTTTTCAACCTTAATATCATCAATTCAGCGTCACAATCCAAGCCACAACACTCTAAACGCCGAAAACAAAACATTTTATGCTTAATCTCAACTATACTAAGATCTAAAAGCAAAATTCT